TGATTTCATAAAATATTAACTAGCAATTTGCAGTGTCTGCATATATATGCTGCTTATGTGGAAAGTTGGCCAAAGTCTAGGGTTTGGCAAACACACGCAGCTCTCGAAGATGAGTCCGGGCTGAGTGATGGACAGACGGGCGGACAGGCGGACAGGATGGCTCAAAATCAACTGAAAGCGATTTAATTTGCCCGAGTCCGGGCTGGAGAGCTCTCTGGCTGAAGGATACAAGCTCCTTCGGTTTTTGGCTGAGGCTTCAATGCAATCCCCAGCACTCAATGCGCCCATCCCGCCCTCGAACACACTTTAACTATATTAATTGATATACTTGCTCGCAGCGGTAATTTAAGCCAACTGAAGTCGCCTGCCAATGCCAATATCATCAACCTGCCCCGCCCCCCTTACTACTCATCAGCATCATCAGCCTTTGAGAGGGCGGGAGATTTGGAATTGGAATTGGCTGGGCTTGGGCTTGGGTTGTGTTGGGTTGGAGCCGGATTCTGGGTGGAGATTTCGTTTCTTGATGACTTTGCCCAGAGGCGCGCTCTCTTTTTGGCGCTGACATAAGGGGGAGTCGAGGGATGTACACACACAGCAGACTTTGTGCACTCCTGCAGGCAAATAGGCAGGCAACATGGCGTATACGTAATCAAATGTACATAAGGCATCAAACGACGACGGCGGCGACGCCATCAATTCCTAAGCCAAAACAAGCGCGGGCAAGTGACTGCGAGTGTGTGAGCAGGAAAACTCAGAGCTCCGAAGAAGCTCCTGTAGCATACATCAAGTGCAGGCTGGCAGGCAAGGAAATGGGGCAGGAAGGGAAGGACAAGCAGTGCACAGGAAAACAATTTACAATGCCACCAACTTAACAGGATGTGCGGAGGAGCAGGTTGTGGCAGAGTGAGAGACTGGGAGATAGGAGAGCTGCATACAATTTTGGCACTGGCAAATGGCAATAGATAGCTAAGACAGTTGGCAGCAGGAAGGGGCGTTTCTCAGAGGTGGGCTCGAGTAGTTCCTAAAATATGCGGATCGATAGTTTAGCAGAACTGAAAGCTTCAGAGTTATTCATTACATTTTTCCAAGGCATTGCGCTCCTTTTTTCCGTTTTCCCCAGAGTTCGCTCCATCTAAATCATAGAAACCTGTCGTAAATTGCAAACCTTTCTCAAAGCGTAAAAACTCCGCTGAACTTTGCTGGCAACTCTCCGAAGGCACATATTAGTACGACTGTGTATATACAGAATGGAGAGCTAACATTTTGATATTCGTGTGATATGTGTAGTGTGTAGTGGGAGCGAACCAACCCTTTTGCTGTATGTCTGCTCCGAAGTAAATCTGTACACGATGCTGGGCATTAGTGGGCGAGTGGAAGGGGGCTGGCAATAAGTTTAATGTGTGCTTCGAGCATATTTTAAGGCTTTTGCTAGCCAGCTGTCAGTTCAGCTGAGTTCAGATGACTTGAGCGGAGTCGAGCTCAGTTTGCGGGATGACGGTTCCCCTCTATGTACTTCACTGAACTGTCCCAGCTGACGTCGAATTATCATAAATTGCCGAAGTTTGTTTTTGGCATAACAAAACTTGGGCGGTGGCGGAGGTGGAGGTGGAGGTCCTCTGCGCTTCTGCGGATGGGAGTGTGAAAAGTTTCCATCGGGCGAAAATCAGGACAATTAGGCTCATGTTGTGTGAGGGCAGAAAGGGTTTCCAGCAATGCAGCGACACAGAGTGGAAGGACTTTGCATAAGTTTGCGAACCGCCCCTGCCAGCATCCTTGCTGCATAATCCTATTAAATTCTCGTTGCGGCCTGGAAAAGCAAAGTAAACCAACCGGCAAGGGGGAAAGCGAAAGCTCAAAAGGTGCTTAATTTGTGCGCTGCTTTTATTGATTTCCCCCAGCCGCCAACCCGCCCCCTTCCCCGCCACTCCCACACATTAGAAGAGGAGCTCCGGCTAAAAGGCATTAAAGTCTTGACAAGGCTATTAAATGCTTAAGAGGCAGCGACGTTAATGACAACATCGCAAAAAGGCCAAACCAGGGCAAGGAGCTGTCTGCTCGAGCAGAAGTAGTCGGGCAGACGCGACGAGAGCCGCGCAAGGATTACAATTTACGAGTCCTGCGAACCATGAAGGTGTGATAAAATTTCAGCAATTAAAAAAACGTGTGCGTTGACAACGACAGCGAGAACGGGATCCGAATGGTGCGGGCAGGGGGGAGGCGCGGTGGAGGTAGAAACGCAGCGTCGAGGACCCGCGACAAGTAGAACAAGAGGGCCAAGTCAACGGGGCATGCAACTTAAAAAGAAAGTACGAAATTTCAATTTCAACAAAGTTGCTGGAAGAATACTCTTTATTGAAAGTAACAAAGGGAAGCAGGTAACTCATCCAATTACGTTGACAAAGATGTGCTTCTAATTGCTGTAAAGGACTCGAGAAAAAAGCTTTTGGGAAACCTATGTTCTAAAATGATTAAAAAGTATCAAGTTAAGTTGGGAGAAATATCAATTTAATTTTTTCTTCAGTCCTTTGATCTATTGATCATTACCGCGAAAATATAAAGCATACTTTTTAGCGCCTCCACCTCACTGATAGCAAAGTCTATGTGAAAACGAATGTACTCCTTGTTCAACTCACCCGCAGTTCCCTTCAGTCGACATTGGCGACATTTCTGCTTCTTTGTGCTGCTAGCACACACCTATAAAAGAAAGTTGTGAGCAGTTCAAGCGTCGTTGGCATTTGAGAGCAGCTCCAAGAATATTGCAAATTTATGTGCCTTCCCTTTTTGCATAATTACCCCTCAACGACCCTGGGTAACCTGCCCTCCCCCCAGCTCCCTTCCGCTCACCTTGCCACCCAGCAACTACGCCCACACCCACGCACACGCAGATTTTGATAACGTCGCTTCATGTTGGGTGCTTGCAACATTGCAGCGCGTATTTTTAATTTCCGTCAGTTGCCGCTGTCGCTCTCTCTTTTTCTAGATAAGCGAGGAACATGTCAAGGTATGACTATGTGTATAAAGCTATGTGTGTGTGCAGGTGTGCAGGTGTGGGTAGATAATGTAAAATTAAAAGGGAAACTGTGCAAAACAGGCAAAACGGGAAGAGGAACTGCGCGCCTGCGATCTTGAATTATGCGTTCCCAGATTACCAACCAAAAAAGGGACAGCAAATAGACAGGAAGCGGGAGGGGAGGCACAATTATCTGCGCCATAGATGGAAAATAATTCTACAAAATTTATGTTTAATGTTTCGCCATAGAAACAGCGATGCGAAGGAAGAAAAAACTTTTAATTAGCCAACTAAAATCGCAAATGGCGCAGGACCTGAGATATGATTAATTAAATGCCGGCATGTAATTCGGTCGGCAACAACACGCAGCAGTGGATCCAGATGATATAAATTGGGGCAAATTAATTGCAACAGTCTCAGGTGTGAGTGTGAGTGTGGTTGAGTCGGCCTCCTCGCTTGCGTGTGTGTTCGTGGGAAATTTTCGATGTAATTAGATGATGGAAAACGCTCATTTTGCTACCCGAATGCGGGGAGGGGGCTAGCCAAGGGAAAGACAGATGGATAACTTTTTTCTATGCGCTATAATCTGTCAGCCGGGATAAAACTGCTTGGGAAAGTGCACATCCTGTTAAGTGTGATAAAAGATGGGGCATTAACAGAAATAAATCAAATGCTCAGGTGGAGGGTGGCAAAGAAAACTGACCACCAGCTGCGAGTTTCCTTGTAAATGATGGAGAGTGCAATTTACCAAATGAGAAGAGCGAAATTATCAAATGGAAAATGGGGAAACCGAATGAAATCTTTTTGAAATCAAACTCAATTTCCACGACAATATGAATTGCAAGCAGTTATCTAGAAGTAAATTTCCAATGATAAGCAGAATTTAGTTTCGATTAAATTCTAGCAAAGTGAAATCCAAAACAAACCTTTAAATGTTTCTACCAAACCAAAGGTAAAGTGAATATGAAAACAAATAATTAAATAAATAAAATTTTTGAAATGTCTACATTGGAAACAGCTCCCCGAATTCCATCAGCTTCAATTACGGGCGCAGGGCGAAATGAGGCTCCCAATCTCCATCCCCATTTCCGTCCCCATCCCCATCCAACTTCACTTTTGACTTTGCCAGCATCATCAAAATTTTTGCCAAACAACAAAAAGATGAAGAGAAAAGAAACTGGGAGATGGGGGCTGACAAGGGAAGATGGCAAGCATAACGCCCATTTGCAGTCAACTGCCAATATGAAAAGCCGAATCCTTTTACTCGGCACCTAGCCACCCACATCCCACATCCCACGCACCACCACCACCCCCCAACACCCAGCACTCAGCCACAACAAGCTGAGAGAACATTTTCCAAATATTGAGCAGGCAGACAGGGGTGATGTTGTTATATGTATAAGAATTTACATACACCCACGGATATCTGGCTTCTGTGTTCGGCGAGGCTGGCCAACATGTGAAAAGGAATCGGAGAAGAAATGAGAAAGGAGAAAATGGGGGAATATGAGGGCCTTCCGACGCAAGAGCCCAGGCAAATTTTTGTATTTTTAAACCGAGAAAGGGTTGGCTCATCTGCTTCTTCTTTTGGTCCTGGGGAAAACTACTTATAGAACTTTAAACTTGGCAACTCTGTCAAAACACTTGGAAAAGCCAAAAGTGCAAAAGAGTACGAAAGCCAACGGCCGGCTCCAATTCACTGCAAAATGTAAATTATTTTACCAGAAAAATAAGAACAAGTAGGGTGCCCAATATGCATGTGAATAACTTGGGCTCCCATGCTGGGAAAGTTGAGCACTTGCGGGGGGGTCTGCAATAAAAACACGACTGGAGAGACTTCCTTGCTTAATGATACGAAAATATGTCCGAAATCGCGACCCACAATCTCCGCAGTGATGCAAAGCTCTCAGTTATTAAAGCATTTTTCTCACATTTTTCTCGCATTTTCCATTTATTAATCCCCGTTCGCTTTCGCTGCATTTAATTACAGGATCGACACGTCACACGGAATGGAGACCCCGAACCCGTGGTGGATCCCTCGCAGGATTATATGCTGATGCTGGGCTACGAGAATGCCACGCACACGGTCCTCCGCTTCCGACGCAAGCTGGACACATGCGACCCCAGTCACGACATCGCCATAACGGTGAGTTCAGTCCATCAGGAGTCGACCGTTTAATAGATATACTGGTCAAAGTTTTGCCATCTCCGAGTGAATTTTATGCCCTCTGCGAGCGGCGGGGCGAAGTCCTGCCTGACTCATAGTTTATGTTAATAAAAGTTTCAGAGTGCCGCCTCCAGAACTCCGATGATATAAGCGGCTGCCATCAAAGTAGTCCGATTGCATACATTGGGAAAATGTATGTGGCATACAAATTTCAGATTTTGGATATTTGGTGATATTTTATTATTTAAATGCAAAAACAAATCTGTTTTTTGCAAAATGCTTTTTGCTTGTTTTATTCAATGAGCTATAATCACTTAAGAATTGGCATTTAATATCTAAACTTTTTGTAAAATTTAAAATCATTGTAAGCCAGATTAAGAATATTTTCTTTTCTGTGCAGGGAATTGAGTGGTTCCAGTTTCGGCAATAACCTTAAACAAATATAAACAGTAAAATTTGTGGCGCGCTGAGCATACGGAATCAGCCCACAGGCTGTATCCTTTCTCAGACGAGAAAAACAAGGAAGAAAGATTAAGGATTGCGGCTTAGGGGTTGCATTCGAACAAGCCGCTTATTAGCTGCACTCCTGAGCCAGTCCAATCGGCTAATATTGGCTGTGCAATTAGCTGCCAAATCTCTTCATCGTCAGCCACCTCTAAGCACTCTATCAAAGCCGCAGATATCAGGAGGATGAAAGAGGGCGAACAAGTCATAGTGATAAAAGTTTTATCACGTATAACTTAAGCGTAAATCTTAAAGAAAACTTTCTGGTTAACTTGAGTAAACAAAGCGCGTGGCGCAAGCACACAAATACTTCCCGAAGAGGAAAGGCAAAGGACACATATGCCAGACATGGCGACAAAGACTGAAGGGAACTGAATACCCCGACCTCAAAGCGTACACACATATTGAGATATAGTGTGCCTGAAGTTTGAATAACCCAAAAGAGCGGGGAGGGCAAAAACTGCCATGTTTGTTCGTGGACACATTTGGTTATTGCTTTATCTAAACGCTTTAAGTCCCTTTCCATGACAGGCTCTAAGGATGTTTCCGTGGGAGGGAGCCGAGCATTTTATTTGTCTAGCGTATTAATTGGATTTTGTCGCGTCATCAGCGACACAGCCAGGATGAGTCTGAGAACTCGGAGAGTGGGCGAGTGAAGGACTCCTCCAGGAAAAATCTTTTGGCTAAATCGCCCTAGACAAATTAGTTTGCAATAAGCCAGTACTTAATGTTGTTGTAGCTTTAGCTGGCATTTGTTGTGGGGCAATTTTGGAGCACAATACAAAGTTTTAATGAATTTCTGTTTTAGCTGACCCCGCTCTACGCAGTTCGTTTAAGTTTGCCGCTACAATTTACTCTGGAGCTGGGAGTGGATAGAGGGGATTGCAGGGCGGACCTGCCAGCTTTGCCACTATTTGTACAATCCAAATACCCTAGGACCTCGAAAAGTATTTTGCTCTTGCGTTCACAACAGCAATATAATATAATATTTGTTTTGCTGTCCAGATAACTTTGCACTATTATTTATTTTCATAACTTTTATACATTTTTTTAAAACGATGAAAAAAAGTTGCTTAATCAGTTGTCCTGTCCACTTTTTATTTAAATCAATCTTAAAGATGTGTAAAGCACAAACAATGTAGTTTAAAATATAAATAATTTATATATAATTTTTTTTGTACCTGGGTATCCTATGTTTTATATCTCTATCCTCCTTCACCTCCTCGCTTAAGAAGTTTTCCCCATTTTGGCTTTGCTTTTGTGCTTTCCCCTAACTTCCTCACCGATTTCCGCTTTTGCGCCATTTTGGGCAAGGTATTTTGCATCTTTGTGCACTCCCCCTATTTACCGCCCCCAACCTCCTCCTCTTTCCCATGAATAAAAAGTAAACTACAACTTGCATTTTTTTGCATTAAGTGCAATGGAGTAGGGGAGTGGAGGAGGGCACTGGAGTGGGAAAGCAGAAGCAACCATTTGGCAAATTAAGCGCTGTTTGTTGTGCATCCGGGGGAGTGAGGGGGGGTGGCGAAAATTAATAATGTATTGTGTACAGAGCCATTTGCTAGGTTTGAGTTTGAGTTTGAGTTTGGTTTGTCCAGAACTTTGAGGTCAGCATGCGGGGCATGATTTGCCGTGCACTTAAAAATTTATTAATTGTTTGCGTTTCTCCGAGAGCAGCTCCACAGAGCCCCGTCCCTTAAAACAGACCACTTCCACCCACTTTCTTTTCGCGTTTAATGAGCGGCAATTGTGCAAATTACAGCAGAAACTTGCAAGAAGAAAATACCTTTTCAACAACGAGCTTTCCTAGTTGTCTTGCAGCTTAGAACAAGACACTCAAACCCCTTCAAGTACCTATTCGTTTTTTACCATGGAAAGTAGTCAAACCCTTTACGCATTGTTTACAATTTAAGCCGATTTCAAAATTTGATCCTTTTTAATCTAACCTTTCCGGCCATCACATATTATTTTTTCGATTTTGTGCCACTTCAAAGCGCATTGAAGCCAGCCATATGAATTTATCAGTCTGAGCCGCTCAAGTGGCATAATCATTTCAGCTCACCCCACCAGATATGACCCATTTTCCCATAAGAATGCCCAAAATTAACCTCGCCAGGAGATAAACTCGAGCACAGTCTGCATTTTTTATATATACAAAATAAAATTTCCAGCTGTTTAAGCTCATAATATAAAATCCTATTTTAAATAACTTTCAACGATTTCAAGAATTTGGCCCAACCAACCCCCGCGAACCACAATTTCCAGCGAAAGGTCATAAAAAACGGAATAAAAAATGGAGCAAGGGTGCCCGGAGGCGGAGTCAATCAGCTGCTCAACCTTTCCAGTTGCCAGTGCTCAATTAAGCGTGTTCAATAAATTCGCTGGCCGTGGAGCAACCCCTATGTAGGGGATACGGATACTCAAACGCAGAGCATATGTGCGGAGGGCATGATCTCAGGGAAAGTTCAAAGTTTGTGTCTCGAACAATTTTCCTATCAGTATAAATAAAACTGTTTATTTATATAATTAATTGTATCAGTCGGAGGAAATTGGCCATGCGAGCAACCCTTTTCGCTGGCTCCCTCTCCTTTCGGGTTCATACATAAATAAAACTGCATGGGGGCGGGGAGGGGCGAAAACACACGCACGTATTTTCCTATACAGCCGGAGGGGTGGTGGGAGGCAGACAAACCGCAAAAACGTCAACCACAATACAAAAATTACAGCCACTAAAAACCGCCAACGACGCCGGCGACGACGAAGTTGAAAAATATCAATCGATGTGGGTTCATTTATGTGTAATGAACATTAATGAAGCGCAAAGAGCGTGACTAATAACGAAATTACCAATTGGCCAAAAAGAGTCAAGACCACAATGGAGAGCTGACGTCACTTGCCTCTTCTCTTTCCCTCTTTTCTACCCCACCCCCTGCTTGACCCATTGCAAGTGAAGGAAGGAAACTTTTCGGAGGAAAATCTATGAAGAAATCAAACATTCCATGGGGTTTACCAAGTGTTGGATTGGGGAGAATGATATATATAGATAGGGGGAGGGGAACTTTGCAGAGGTGGAATAATAATACTGCGCATAAACCATAAAATGCCATTAAGTGCGTCATTTCAATTTGATTTCAGAGTACTGATTTTTATTTTTCTTTCTTGCACTTTGCTAATGCGAGTGAATGGAAGGGAAAAAGGACACAAAAAAGTTGAAATTGTAAAGTTTCCTCTCTGTATTCCATTTCCTCGTCGGTCAATTCCCACTCATTGAAATATTTTTAATGATTTCCTGCGTTATCCCCAAACTTTGGCACTTAAATCTAAACGACAACTGACAAATGCTAAATTATGGCTTGAAGTAATCACAAAAGGATTAGGAAGCGACTGTCAGATAAATTTGGCATGCACAGATTGAGATACATTTATCACTCAATATTCCTTCCTTCGCTGAGTCTGCTGGCTTAATTATTCTCCCTAATTTTCCCCACCGTATTCAATTCTTTTTCTGGATTGATAATGAATGGTTTTCAATTTATTCGAGCTAACAATAAGAGCTGAAAGTGTTTTTGTCGTGGCTTTAATTAAATTTTCACAAACTCGCTTAATTGCTCAACGCCCACTGCAAATCATTAAAATCTTTATGGACCGGCCTCTCCTTGCTAATAAAAAACCCTCAATTTGACGAGCTACACAAAATTGTCATTAAGTAGCCTCCATTACATGCCCACCCCGTACAATTTGGAAAACATAACTTTTAGGGGCATTTTGTCTGCTCCTCTCAAGCTTTTGTCTTGATTTATGCATAATAATTGAGTAATTACAATTTTTAATTTGCCATTGACTTTCATGTTGCATTATTATTATTATTGTTATTATTATTTGCTTAGGCCAACAAACAACACTATAGGGGAGAACAAAAAGAAACTCATTTAAAATGCAAATTTCATCTAAACTGGGCAAATTATAATTCAACAGAGACCGAAAGCAACATTCCGCGCCGAAAGTGACAATTAACACTAATTGTCATTATAATAATTTCATATTGTTTTTTCGCTCGCTGTTGTTGTTGCCGCCGTGTTTGTTGTTGTGGTAATTGTTTAAGCTTGCCACGGCATTTTGCTGTCCTGGTAATTTAAAATGCAAAAACTAAGAGGGAGAAAAAAGTCGTAAAGCAAAAACTTTGCCGTGTGAAGTTCAGTTGAGTTCGAAGCCGGGTAAAAATATTGTTTTTAATATAATTTATGTGCCCGGCCCAGGGCCCAAGTCGAAGTAGTTCTGTAATGGAATTATGCCCCTGGCCTGACCCCTCGCCCTCATGAGATCCGCACATGGCGCTACTATTTTTGCTATGTGTTTATTATTTTAACACGAAACTTGCACTCAAGCTGAGAAGTGGGGGCCAGATGGAGTTTTCCCCACTTGTAAACAGTAATTTTTGCCCATTAATGGCGGGGTCCTTGCATACTCACAACGTA